TGATGCCCCCTGCCAGGCAGGAGAGAGTCTGCTGCCCCCCTAGAGCTTTTAATTGGATCTGGGAGTCCTGGACTCTCCTGCCTTCCTTGTCTTTGGACTCAGGGTGACCTTGAGCAAGGCCCTTCCTCCATCCTGGAAATGTGGAGAAGATTCCCACTCCTAGCCCCTCCCTGGGGGCGGGGGTGGGTGGGGTGAGGGGGGAAGCTTTGAGGAAGGCAGAGAAAACCTCAAGCAGGGAAATGGCTGTTAGCCAAAGCCTCCTGAATTATAAATGTGCTGCTGTTGTGGCCCTTTGGGGCACTTAAGTGCTTCTTAACCAGCCAGTAAAACCCACATCCAACTGCCCCTTGAGCCTGTCTGTGAAGGAGGTTGTGTTCTCAACATTCTTGCTTTCTGAGGCTCTGAATGCAGCTGTGAATGTGATGACTCCAGGGGAGAATTTTGCCAGGCTTGGTCTCTGAGCCACAGAGGGGCCTGAGCAGGGGAGCCCGAGGCCCACTTGGTGTCCAGCCAGAGCCAGGATTCCTTGAGCATAGCTCAGGCCAGTGAGTCTCTTCGCTATTAGCGCCCAGAGCCCTGTGCCTTGGAGAACAGATACAAGGGCAGAAGGTGCAGCCACTGCCCAGAGACCAGAGTCAGGGCTCCACCCTGCTCCTGTGTGACGGCATGACTTCTCTGGGCCACAAGCTCCCAGCTGCAACAACTGGAAACACTTCTTGTGGCGACACTGATACTGGTGACTAGCCCAGCTGGGGTGCTGGGAGGAGCATCTCCTAGACTCCCACCCCCCTTAGGGGAGACAAAACAGGACAAAACTGAGGACACCTAGGATTTGCAGCCCAGCCAATGTAGGCCTGAAAGTGAAAGTGTTAGTTGCTCAGGCGTGTCCAACTCTTTGTGTCCAACTCTTTTTTCCCTGTGTAAGAATACTGGAGTGGATAGCCATTCCCTTCTCTAGGGGATCTTCCTGACCTAGGGATCAAACCTGGGTCTCCTGCAACGCGGGTAGATTCTTTACCATCTGAGCCACCACAGTTATATAGCTCTAGGTGGCAGCCCCACCCCTCTGAGCCTCCCAGCATCTAAAGTGGAGTGGCAACCTTGCAGTACTGCCATACAATGTAGAGATAGGATGCCTTTCCTGGGTCTTGGCTCAGTCCCCACAGCAGTGGGTTCGATTCCTGGGTTGGGAAGATCCCTGGAAAAAGGGAATGGCACCCCACTCCAGTATTCTTGCCTGGAAAATTCCACGGACAGAAGAGCCTGGCAGGCTACAGTCATGATGTCGCGAAGAGCTGAACACAACTGGGCGACCTTCACTCACTCACCACAGCAGGCTCAGTCCTGCCTGGGAAGTGGCCCTGCATCTGAGGAGCCCATATCTTACCTAACCTCTTGCTCTCTCCAGCTTTACAAAAGCCTGGGAGCAAAGAGAGACCCTCTTCCTCACCATGTCCAAATGCCCAGGTCGCTGGCTCACTGGGCCCAGCTCTACAGGGTCCTGGGGGCTCTAGGAAGCACCAACCTCGTTCCTCCTTCATCCTGGGATCCGGCATCAGGTTGGCTTGTTCAAGCTTCTCCTTGCAAATGGTCTCATCTGGGTCTGTGTCCAATGCTTGCCCTGGCCCCCAGGCCCCAGATAGAGGTAGGAGAGACAAATGCAGGGCAGATTGGCTCCAGCAGCTGTGAGGGAAGAGCCACAGGCTTGTGCTGGGTGGTGTGAAGCCCCTGCTTGAGTGTGGAGAGCCTGTTCTGCCTGCCCTTCCCCTGTGGCCGGAGAGGGGCTGGGGCTGCGTTTCCGCCGCTCCCTTCGTGGGACCACGGGAAGCAATCAGCCTGAGGAAGCTGTGCTGTGCTTCCTTCCTTTCTCACCAGCCCCTCCGGAGGCCTTGAAACCTCAGCTTGACCTGTGGGGCCTGCAGCTTCTGAGTTGTGGGCAGGAGACCAGCAGGCCTGCTGGGAGCCCCTGGAGGGTGTGGGATCAGGGATGCCCTCAGACTCCTGCCTGGGCATTTCCTGGGCCAGAGTGCCCTTGTGCGCACACCCACACCACTGGGACCACCAGGCCATGGCTGGGTGACTCCCTCAGGCCTTGAGCAGTCCAGAGACCCACCCTCCCTGGGACTAAGGGAACGCAGACCTTCCCCACAGCCCCGGTGAGGGTGACAGGGTGGGGGGTGTAGATTGGGAGAGAAAGAAGACATCTCCTCCCTCCTTCCCATCCTCTTGAGTCCCTCATACTCCCTTTCATCAGGGAGAGGTAGGCTGCCCAGAAACAGGGGCTGATGGCTTTAGGGAGGGAAGGTTGGATTCTTGGTCCTGAAATCAGAGCCTGGGTTCCCCTGCCAAGAGCCACCTGTACTCCCAGCTCTGAGCAGAGCTGGGAATGGGGCAGGAGGGGGGTCTCTCAAGGCCCAACTTCTTCCCCTCTCCTCCCACATGGCCGTCCCTCTGTCACTGAAGGCCAGTGCACACTCGCTTAGTCTGGTCCTCCCACCTCTCCTGTCCAGTCTGATTTTGGGAAAGTGTCCAACAAACACTTTCACCTTGAAGCATCAGAGCTCTATGAGAGCTGTCCTGGGCAGATATGGGCCAGGCCTACATGACAGTGAAACTCAGCCAGCCCAGGAGACTCTGGTGACTGTAAATTGGCCCCTCTCACCCTCCAAATCCACATGGATGCTCCCAACCAAGTCTGGTTTGTGTGTGGAGGTGAGAAGAGTGGGGTGGGGCGGGGGGAGACATCCCTGGGACCAGAACCAGAGTATGATCTCTGGACTCAGACTCAGATCTTGGTTCTAGTTCTCCTCAGCTGTGTGACCTTGGGCCAGCTGCTTAGCCTCTCTGAGTCTCAGGCTCCCCTATAATCAGGAGGGGATTAACAGAGATAACACTTGGCAAGATGCCCAGACATGGGTTCGATAAATGGCACCTGCTGCTCTGACTGAGGGGTACCCTGAGGAGGGACCCACATAATCAGCACCGTATCAGCAGGAGGATCCCTGACCCTGGACAAATAAACGGACTAGAAAATGGTGTCCCAGTCTAGTCCTAAAACCATTCTGCCCATCTCCAGACGGGTGCTGAAGCAGAGCTCGCTGGATGCCGCAGCCTCCTTTTTGTTCTGCAAATAGAGCAGGGCACCCTGTCTGATCACTGCTTAGCTGTTAGGGCCAGGCTGAGGGTCTCTGCCCCTCCCCAGGCACTCAGATCCAAGTTCTGTCCCCAGGGGTGTCTGTCTTCTAGGGCTTAGGCCAGGCCAGCCTCATCTGGGTTCAGCTTTCAGAACTGACTCCCAAGAACAGGAGCCACTCCCAGGCCAGCTGGAAACTTCCGGAACCACAGCCCCTCAGCATCCCTCATGCTGGTGTTTGATGGCATCAAGTGCTCCTGCCCTGTCCAACCTCCAGGCCCATTCCTTGCCATGGGTCAGTCAGGGAACTCCATGTGGTCCTTAGGTCCTGGGGGACTGGGGTGCCCAGTCCAGACTGGCTGGGGGTGATCTTCTAAAGGCGAGCATGACCTCTAGAGCCTCATTCAGCTTCACAGCTGGTTCAGCAGATAGATGGTATAAACCTATTTCACATACAAGTAACTGAGGTCCCGAGAGCCCCTCTTTGGCTGAGCTGGGACTGAGATCCTGTACCACATCCTCCCCCAGGTCCAGGCCCTCCTTACCGTCTGACAGGGTCCCTGCCGGTGTCCTCAGCCTCTGCCCTCCAGACCCCAGGGGGCTGAGGGCGCTGTGGATCAGAGAATCTGGTGCCGGGGGCCTGCGCCCAGGTCCCCAGCATCCCCCAGCCCAGGGGCCCCCCCAGGCCAATCAGCAGTGTCAGGATCATGCTGGCTTGCGGCAGACTCAGCTTCTGTAGTGACTCCAGAAAGTGCTGGTGCCGGTGACGTCTTTAAGTTAAGTCTCAGAAGGGAAAAAAAAAAAAGCAGGGACAACAAAGAGAGGAAGTGGCCTGGGCCGGCCCACCCGGTGAGTCCTGTCCGGCCCCGCTCACCCTCGGCCTGGCCCCCACAGGGGCAGGCAGCAGCGCAGGCCAGTTCCTGTGGCCGAGGAGGACTCGGTCAGGGACACGGGGTGTGGGAGACACAGGGGGAGGTGGTCCCACTAAGCCTGTGCCCATGGGAGTCAGAAGAAGTGCGCCAGCGTTGAGACGGAAGGAAGTGTGTCAGGAGGAAGCGGTCAGATCAGCCTCAGGGAACCTGCTGCCCATCCATGTTGGTGGCCAGGACGTGGGGGGCACTCGTGCCTACTCAGCATCTCTCACCGCTGGGCTGTGGGAGCCAGCAGGTGGGTGGAGGCCCAGATGGAGATGGGAGCTGTCCTAGGGTCACACAGTCTGTAGCTGGGCCTGGGCTGTGGGTTAGCCTTTTGTGGCCCAGTTCTTCCACGTGGCCTTGCCCGAGCCCCAGGATGGGGGTATTCACGGTGCTGGGGAGAAGTTGGGCAGGCCAGGCCAGTCCGGGAGGTTGGCCACTCTTGCCTGACAGGCCAGCTTGATCTTAACCCCTGCCCTACCTGGGACCCTGGTAGCAGAGGCGCCTTTCTTTTCTGTGTCTACCGCCCCACCCCCCGCAACCCCTCTCTGCCCCAGAGGTACACAGACACAACAGCCCCAGGCCTGGGAGCACCTAGTCAGGGTCACCCCTGTAGGTGCACAGGGTGGCAAATGAATGAGGGGCAGTGATGGATAAGGATGTGTCCAACCTGCTATGGCCCGTCCAGGGAGGGCAGGGGACAGGAGGGGAGGCTGGAGCCAGCACAGGCCCAGGGGACCCTGGGAGAAGGTGGGGGCAGCCGTGCTCCCTCCCTCCCTCCTTCCCCGCCCCCACCCCTGGGCTGGCCGGGCTCCCATCAGCCGCTGCTGCATCATCAATATTTCATTGGCGTCAATAAGAGGCAGCCACAGGGACAGCGGCTGCAGCAGCACTAGAGCCAGCGCCAGTCACGGTTCGTCTGGGGAGTCAGACTGCCATCCCTGCCCGCCGCCATGGACGTCTTCAAGAAGGGCTTCTCTATTGCCAAGGAGGGTGTGGTGGGTGCCGTGGAAAAGACGAAACAGGGGGTGACGGAGGCGGCTGAGAAGACCAAGGAGGGTGTCATGTATGTGGGTGAGTTTGGGCGTGGCAGAGCCCGGCAGGGAGGGGCAGCCTGGTGGCCGCTCAGTTTCCTGGACTGGACTTTATCCCCTGATCCCAGGGAGGCATTTTTGGGAGGGGTGAGGACTCCTGGGCCCAGTGGACCCCCACTCTCCTGTACACCCACCCCATTGTCTGTCTGGGCCTCTTTGGGGTTGAGGGGTCTCTGGGGCAGGACAGCAGGAGAGGCACTCAACCCTCAGACACGCCTGCTTGTGCATACACCACTACACACCAGCACCCCACCCCAGTATCACCCACAGCCTCTTCACTCAGATAAAAAGTCACACTGGAGCCCTGGGCTGAGCAAGCAGGTACTCAGCAGCCAGGCCACAGGTCCCCACCCTGCCCAGAAAGAAGGGGTGCCACAGGAGAGATGAGATTGACCCTCAGCATCCTGGCCAGGCTCCCAAGCCCCCTCCCCCATCAGCTCCTTCCAAAGGGGAGGCCAAGCTTATGACTCAGCTCCTGACCCTATCAAGCCCTGCTCCAAGGCCCAGGCCACACCCACTCGAGGTCCATCCACCAGACCCTACCTCAGGCCTGATCTCTCTCATCCCTGCATCCTGTCCTGTCCACTTCCCATCCATCCCTTTCCTCCAGACACAGCAGGAAGTGGCCTTTGAAAGGATGGCTGGCCCCCAGACACCATCCTTACTCCCCACCGACTCTGCAGCTTGTCCAGCTGTTCTGTGGTGTGTTTGCCCTGACCACTCCCCTCCCAACACCTGGAGTGGGCTTGGACTGACGCCTCCATTTCCTCCACAGGAGTCAAGACCAAAGAAGGTGTTGTGCAGAGTGTGACTTCAGGTGAGGTGACCCAGGACCAGGGGACATGGAGGGTGGGACATCCAGAGACTTTTGCACCCGGCTACTAAAGGCCCAAGTCCCCCCTTGTTGTACTAGGATCCAGACCTCCAGAATCTGGAGGTAGGCCCAGGGTGGACCACCTGATCATCATCAGAGCTTCCCTGGAGTCAGAAAGAGGACAGCCTAGGTCTTCAGTAGAGCCAGAGTTTTGAGTGCCCAGGGAAAGGGCTGCTCTGGCCTGATTTGGGCAGGCCAGAGCTGGGTTGGGTGGGATCAGGGCCAAAGCCTGCCAGATTCCTCCCACAGTGGCTGAGAAGACCAAGGAGCAGGCCAATGCCGTGAGTGAGGCCGTAGTCTCCAGTGTCAACACTGTGGCCACCAAGACGGTGGAGGAAGCGGAGAACATTGCAATCACCTCTGGAGTGGTGCGCAAGGTGAGATCCGGTCCCTAGCCCGGGGCCCAGGGAGGCCAGCTGGGGAAGAAGCATTATCACCCCACTAACATACAGGGTGGAGAAGGCAACGGCACCCCACTCCAGCACTCTTGCCTGGAAAATCCCATGGACGGAGGAGCCTGGTGGGCTGCAGTCCATGGGGTCGTGAAGAGTCAGACACGACTGAGCGACTTCACTTTCACTTTTCACTCTCATGCACTGGAGAAGGAAATGGCAACCCACTCCAGTGTTCTTGCCTAGAGAATCCCAGGGATTGCAGAGCCTGGTGGGCTGCCGTCTATGGGGTCGCACAGAGTCAGACACAACAGAAGCGACTTAGCAGCAGCAGCAACGTACAGGGGAACGGAGACTTAGGGGCCCTGGTCTATGCTTGGTGTTGTCACATCCAGGGAACCTCGCAAGCACCCCTGTGAGGGGGTGGGGGGGGCCCAACTGGAAAGTGAGGTTCAAAACCCACCCACCCGATGGTGCTCAGCATTTAGGAGACATATTTTACCAGCAAAAGCAGGGTCCTGTGAGCCCCACGTCATGACAGGCAGCCTCCCGCGGGCAGTGGACACCAGATCAGGGCTGCCTACCTACCCAGAGTAGGCAGTAGACTCTGGACACCTACCCAGAGTCCAGCCTCCCTCCAGAACCTGCTGGGCTGGGCCACCTCCTGCAAGCAGGTGCAGGGAAGCAGCGCCCCCTGGTGACGAGAAAAGAGTGAGGTTCTGACCACACCCTCTGCCTCTGTCTGTGAGCAAGTGTACGTGCCCGGGCGCCTGTGCCTGGTCTGAGAGTTCACGTGTGTGTGTGCTGGGCAGCGAGGGCACAGGGGCAATTTTTGGGGGCAGCCTGGCTCCAAAGTCTATGCTCTGAAGAGAGACTCTGAGTGAGAGTCAGGAGGAGATTGTGGTGGGAGCCAGTTCATTTTTGGGGCAGGAGGTTTTCCTAGTCCAGAGATGAGCTGTTCCCAGCTGTGTAAGCAGATGTCGTTTAGAAAGTTCCACCCAACTGGCACAGGCCCCTAGGGGCCAGTGGAGTCCTAGGCACCCAGCACTATGAATTCCTGGAGTGGATTAGTGGAAGGGTAGGTGGTGACCCTGCCTCTGGCTCGGGACAGCACTGAGGTCATAGGATCTCCAGACTCTAGGAGCAGGCAGGTGCCCCCTCTCCTAGTTCCCAGCTCTTATTAGTTATGTGACTTTGGGAAGCTACTCAGTTTCCCTGGGCCTCCATTTTATCGGCTGTAAAATGCTTGTTGGGGGCGTGTGCTGAGTATCCATCCCACTGGCCTGTGATGATGCAGGGAAACAGACCCCTGTGAAGCAGCTTTACCTCGCTTACAGTGAGTACCCAACAAAAGGAGGTGACTGTATCATCATTATCATCAGTGACCCCAGGCAGGACCCAAATGTATCCCCCAGGAGACCCCAGGCCCCTCCCTCCCCCACCCCCCAGCAAAAGAGGCCTTAGAATGGGGCCAGGCTGCCCCCTAGGGCTCTGAGCAGAAGCCTGGGCACTCCTCTCTGACTTTGGAGGAGGGCTGGTGAGTCCTTGGCTACCTCAAGGGAGATATATCCTGGTGACATCCCCAAACCATCCATGACTCACTGTCCAGTGAACTGCAGAAGGATGCAGCACTGCCCATCTGTCTGACTACTCATGCCTCATGCACCCACCCTGGGGCAGTAGGACTAGATACATGGCCACCTGTACTTTGTCTGAGGAGCCTGCCCCAATTCTGGCTGCCTCAGTCCACCAAAGGGCAGGATGACATCATGGTAGTACTGAGGTGGCAGGATCCTCAGAGGTAGGTGCTTAGCCCAGGGTCCAAGATGATCACCCAGTCTGGCCCCAGCTATCACTTATCACACGACCACCCCAAGGCAGGACACCATCTCAGGCAAGGGTCTGGTTGGGTGTAGGTAGGTAGAAGGAGACAGGAAGTGGGAGAGGATTATATAACCCCTGCTGGTCCCACCTGAGGGACCCGCCTGAGCCCATTGCCCATCCAGGAGGCAGGGAGAAGGAAAGAGGGAGGCACTCATGCTACTGAGAATAGGGTTAGGCCTGGAGCAAGCCAGACCTGATCCCTGTAAGCCCCACGACTTTGATCTCTAAGGCTTTGAGTTGAATACCTGGCCTCTCTGGCCACAGGGTCCCCATGTGAACAGTGGTAACATGCCCTTCCTTCCAAGGGTCTTTGAGGATCACAGTAGGAGAAGGGTATATGGTCATGTGATTCAGGAACACTGAGGGTGGGGTCAGGCTTAGGGCTTCAGAGGCCACTGCCCACCCCACCCACATCACCAGGCTTGCTCATGGAGGAGGACCAATCAGGCACTGTCAGGGACTCACTGTTAGCTTCTCGGGGTGAGGCTGGGCTCAAGGATACTTGGTACTCCCTGAAGGCCTTGACATCATCAGACAGAGCCCCCACTGGGAATCCTTACATGAGGTTCTATCACCTCCAAGGCCCATCTGGCCTTCACACCTCCCTCCCCTCCTGCCCTCCAGGTACAGTGATGAAGACCTCTGTTCTTCTTTGAGGTCAGAGTGGTGAAGCTCTGCACCCTCCACCTGGTGCCACAGCCCCTTTGCTTTTCCACAGGAGGCCCTGAAGAAACCTGTCCCCTCACAGGAGGATGAGGCCGCCAAAGAGGAAGAGCAAGTGGCTGAGGAGGTAGGAGCTGGACCCCTGGGGTAACACAGGGGTCCCTGGGCAAGTTGCTTCCCTCTCGGGGCCCCAGAACCCACAGGGGAGCCTCCTGACCTGCAGCCCCCTGAGCCTGAGTGTGAGATCCCCTCATGAATAGCCTCCTCAGGGCAGAGGGGCATAGATGACACCCTTCCTCCCCGCTCCCCAAGCCAGGGTAACCACTGAGGAGTGGAGCCCCAGAGCCATACGCGAAAGTCACTGTCTCTTCCAGACCAAGAGTGGTGGAGATTAGAAGGCTGCCATGATCGGCAGAGGCCTTGAGGAGCATGCCATCCCTCCTGGCACAAGGAGTGTCTGGTCCTGGAGTATGACCTACAGAGCTGCCAGCTCCCCACACCCTCCTCCAGCTCCCCACAGGCCCATCCTCCCTGCTACCACCACCACTGCCTTCACCTCCCTACCTTATCCCTGCCCACCACCCTCTGATCTTTCTGACCCCACAGATGCTGCTGTGAATTTTTTTTTTTATGATTTTAATGATTCCAAATAAAACTCAAATCCCCACTGCATACCTGCTCATTATTCTTTCTGTTCTGCCTTATTCATGAAGATGCCCCCTGGGCCCTCCCAGGAACAGGAGCTGGGCCAGGTATGCTACAGGGACACACTGGGCATTTCTAGCACCTTCTGCAAGCATGCAGTGCCTTCAGAGACTCCCCCACCCCCACCATTGCCTTTTAACATGGAGGTGGCTGCCCTGCTTTTTGGGTCCTGCAAACAACCTCAAGAACATGCTGTCTGCTGGAGCATGAGACCGGGATGCCCCAGGTTTTGAGCTTTGACTCACCTTCCAGGGATGGACCCCACTGATGGCAGGGGGTGAGGATGGGCCCCCTGGGTCCTCCTGGGGTGTGTCCTTGAAGCCAGTTGTCCTTCTGGGAACAGGGACACCTAGCACACCCCCCCCCCCCCCCCCCCCCGCCGAAGCAGATGGTAACTTTCAAAGATGTGAAGTCTAAACTCATAGCAAGGACTTTTTGCATCCTCCTTGGCAAAGAGGGACATGACCCCAGAGTTCCTCCCTCCTGTCCCCACCCAGCCTTGAGCTCCCTACCAGGTTGGAGCTGGGCTTTCCCTTCCTTCAGCAGAGTCCTGTCAAGTAGCATTAGGAAACACAACAATTGAGAGGTAGGAGTGGAAGCATCCGCCTAGAGAGAAAAAGAGTCAAGATATTTGTTGAGCTCCTCCCAGGTGTGGGATACTGTACTAATAGCTTTACCTCCTTTAATCCTCAAAACTAATTGTTAGTATGTCCGTAGTTTCACCGAAACTGAACTAAGAAACAGAGAGGTTAAATAACTTGCCCAAGGGCACAGAGCTAGGAAGCTGTGGCCTGGCAGAAGGCCAGGTGGCCTGACCCCAGAGCCACACAGCTGATTTGCAGCATGCTCTGCTACGTCCACCCAGCCTGTGTGGGCTGCAGTGGCCTTACAGCAGATGCGACCATCTCCAAGATTTCAAAACAACCCAGGGACCTGACTGGTTGTTGTCCTGCACGAAAGGCTATGGGCATCATGCCCTGGAGTCTCACTCAGAGGTGGCTAAGTGGAGAGCAGGGTTCCTTCTCCTTTAACACCCAGTTTGGGCCCAAAGCACCCAGGTCTCCAGCTCTGGGTGGGGGCGCTGAAGCTTGAGTCCATACCACCTGCTCATCCTCCCTCTGTGGTGGAGAGCAGAGGTCAAGGGCAGCCCTGGGGGCTGTAAAGCCAAACAGCTGAGCTTCATTGTATCCCAGTTCATCAGTCATGGGCATCCACTGCTGAGGAGGCAGAAAGGAGTAGTGAGCTGCTGGTCTCCCAGCCGTGCAAACCCTACCATGGGAGGAGTGAAGGGTCTTGAAGAGGCACAGGGCAGTCTAGGGTGCTCCTGCTCCCAGGTTCAGACTGCTCATCAGCAGGCCTGTGCATGCCCCAGGAAGAAGGCCCGAGGGGCTGGGTGTGCCTGAGAGAAAGTAGAGGAGACAGGTCCTCTCAGGTAACTGCAGGAGGAGGATACCAGATGGCGCTCCTGGGGTCCCGATACCCTCTCCTCTACTGAAGGAACGCGGAAGGGTCCCTGCTGCTTGTCCCAACTCCCACCTCCACCCCCAGACACATATTTAGGACCTGTTCCTATGATCAAACAACCAAGTTGCCTCGTCCAGGAAGCTTCTTCCCCATCCCATGAGCACCTGCAGTATGCTTTACTTTTAAGCCCTCTATTATGTGCTGTGAGCTCTGTGGGGCTGTACCTGACTTCCCTAGAGGAGTAATTGCTCTCTCCCCATCTCTCTCCTCCAAGAAGCCCCAGGTGACCTGTCTTGGTAGGTGGCAATTGTAGTAAGAGAACATACATATGAGACTTGTTTTGGCCGCCACAAGATGAATAGATCTATGCCCCAACCCGCCAGAATCTTAAAAGTTAATAGAGGGCTTGACTGGAGTCAGTCATATATTTGGGCTTCCCTGATGGCTAAATCGGTAAAGAACCTGCCTGCAATGCAAGAGACACAGGTTCAATCCCTGGGTCAGGAAGATCCCCTGGAGAAGGAAATGGCAACCCACTCCAGCATTCTTGCCTGGGAAATCCCATGGACAGAAGAGCCTGGCGGGCTACAGTCCATAGGGTAGCAAAGAGTCAGACACGACTTAAGCAACTTAGCACACATGAATGTGGTCATATATTCAATTCGAGAGGGTTTCAACAACATCTTACTCTCTCCAGGCTGTGTCCTAAAAATGGCCACTAATATGGGATTTGTAGTCAGGACATAAATTCCAAGGGCAGGGGAGAGGGTGAGGAGCCGCTGACTGCTCAGGTCCAGCTCACAAGGCAACCGGTAGTTACATCCTCTTGATGACCTCCTCCAACATCGCTGCAACAGATTTTTCAATCATCTTCTATATATCAGGTGAGGTGTTTGACTCTAAGGAACCAAACTAAGCAAACTAGATATGGTTTCTTCAATTGCCCAGAATCTTGGAGGTGTTGGAGAAGAATAAATCTTCCTTTACCTTTCTAGGTTCTTCTGGCTGGTCAAAGAATTAAACTGACATGAGACAGGTTGACAGGAGAAAATCAAAGTTCAATAGCATGTATACATGAGAGACCCAGGAAAACTGAGTAACTCATCAAAATGGCTGAAACCTTCACCTAAAATATCATCTTTAGCTAAAGACAAAAGAGGGTGTTGGGGCTAGTGGTTTGGGGAGGAAGGCATTTGACATGAAGATGGAAAGCAAGTGTTCGGTAAACAAATGTTTGCTGGGCCATGTACAGACAATGGGACACAGAGAGGAATTTTAACAAATTGACTTTTCTCAGTTTCTGCCTGTCTACATACCTAGTTCATGTTCTAGTTATCCATGGTGATAGTTCTATTACTGTAACAGACCCTCCAACTTAATTCTTTAGGTAACTAAGGGGAAAGGTCAAAGTTTCTTCCTGAGTCATTTGGGCTTTGATTGTTTTTAGCTTGAAATAACCTGCATTTCAAAGAGACATTTTAGAGTGGCAAATCTTGCTTCCCTGAAGAGGAAAGAGAGAGAATTTGAAAAGCAATAACACTGAAGTATGGTGTCATGTTAGGGAAATACAGAATGTTATAAGGCCCAAACTGGGATGCTTCATCTAATCTGTGATAGGGAAGTCTTCCCTGGTTGTGATATTTTTGATGAAACTGGAACAATGAGTAAGAATTAGCAGGATTAAAGGGCCCGCCATTCCCACCCTCCCCAACCATGGACCCTCAGCTGAGTGTCAGGCATCCATCAGCCCATTTAATCCTCACCATAACACCCTGGGGGAGATTCTGTTATTGTGCCCCCCACCATCAAGGATTGAGGCTTGATGAGTCTCAACCTTGAGACACTGAGGCTCAGAGAGATGAAGGAACTTGCTCTAGTGGGTATTTGAACCCAAGGGTTCTGAGTTCAGTGCCTGCTGCTTTAGAACCATTCAGCTGTCTCTTATCACCTGCCTGGGCAGCCTCCCATAGAAGCTGTTGCCTGTCTCATTCTTTGCCCACAGGGCCTCGTGCCAAACAGCATCAGCAGCTCAGCAATGAGCTAACTTGGAGCAGTGTAAAAGGTCTTCCTGGCTAAAGGGATTAGTGGTAGCGGTGGTTTTTCAGGAGGGCTGACAGGCCTGGGGCAGGGGCTGGATGGGAGCTCTCCAGAATACTGAAGGAAGAGTCAGGAGGACTTGCTGCGCCTTGACCCTTAGAGCTCAGGGCTGGACCAGGCTCCCAGCAGGGACGGACGGGCACAGGGCGGGGCAGTTGCTTTGTCAGTCTGTGTTTGGTTTCCCTTCCCCCCACCAGATCTCCGTCCCCGTAATCAGATCTCAGGGCCTACCCCTTCCTCTGGCCCAGAAATCCTCCATTAATCAATTTCTCATGTGTGTGTGTTCTCCAGATACCCCCACACCAGAGGCTGACCCTCCATGACCTAGTCACTCCTCCCTACCTATTAGAGGCAGGGTGTGGACCAGTTGAGGGGACCTGAGTAAGCGGGGACTTCCCAGAGCTCCAAAATAGGGGGGACTCCGATAGACGTGCAGAGACGGGCCCAGAAAGGGTTAATCAGAGAGCAGCCTTAAAGAGGGTCCAGCCACAGGCAGAGGGGGTGGCCTCCAGGCTCCAATGGCCAACTCAAGTGGAAGAGTGCTGGGCTGGGTGGTGACCTGACCTGCAGCCTTGAGCATCAGGAGTCGTTTTGCTGTCCCTGGGATCCCTGGCTGCCCTACTGACACGCCAGTCACTAATTGCCCTCCGTCCTCCGAGACCCTCCGGCCATCCCTCAGCCCCTCGTGCTCAGTCCCGGGAAAACTGACTTGAGCAACCTGCAGCTGGGCCGCTCCCTTACTCGCAGTGTGGTCTGGAGTACTTTCCGCCCAAGTCCTGGGGCTTTGGTGACCAACAACGATTTCCTTGCCTGGGCTGGACACACATGGACGGCCCTTTCTGTTACTCCCCCTCCACTTGGGGCTGTGTGGTCCCAAGTCAGCGCCGCGTGGTCTCCAGTGACTGGCCTCAATGGAAGGAGGTGGGACTTACTCCAGTCTCCCCACTGCACTTCCCCCCATCCCACCCCTGTCCCAGCAGCAGTTGGGCAAATGGCATCTGCCAGTCTGCAGTGTCCAGGCTGAGTGCGTGAGACCTGCTGGTTTGGCGTTGGTCAGGGCCCTAGGGTTTACAACCCTCCGACTCAGACTTGAGTCCCTGCCATGTGAATTTGGTGAGACCTAAATCACCCTCTGTGCCTCATCTTCTTCCTATAAACTACTAACAACTCCCATTCCAAGAGCTTGTTGTCAAGGTTACACAAGAAAGGAAGCGTTTGCACAGCGCCAGGTACAAAGTAAATACTTAATAAAAAGCAGCTGCTATTAACTACAACTCCACCTGGTGCTGATCCCCACCTCCCTCACCCCTCCCAGGATGGGGAATCCTCAGGGTCAGGGAGGAAAAGTCGTGCCCACCCGGTGCAGGAAGATTGGTGCGCCCCCTTGTGCCCCCAGCCACTGTCCCGATCCCCGATCCAGCCCCTCTGCAGCCCTGAGCCCCTCTTCAGACACTAGCTGGCACACCTCCCCGCTTTCCCATCACGGTCTGCCTGAGGCCAGGATGTGCTTTCGGGCTGGCGGGTACTGGAGCAGGGCCCAGTCACTCCCCTGAGCCCGAGTGCTGGGAACCGCCCCGCGCCCCCTCCAACCCCCCTTCGTGCGGGGAGGGGCCGGCCCTGGGGCGCCTTAAAAACCAGAGCTGACGCTCGGGTCGTAGCCTCTTTGAGCAGGATCCAACATCGCTGCGGCTACCCTTAACCACTCGCAGACCCCCCGCAGCCATGGCCAGCAAGGGCTTGCAGGACCTGAAGAAGCAAGTGGAGGGGGCGGCCCAGGAAGCCGGTGAGAAGAGCGCGATGCGGGCACACCCGATGGACGCGGGGGTTGGGGGGCGCAAGCCAGGGGACTGTGCAGCCGGAAAGTCGAGGGGGTGGGGTGGCTCTGGCTAGGAAGGGCTCTCTCCGGAGTTGCAGGGACCTGGCAGGACGCCCTCCCCGACCAGCCCAGGAATGATGCCTTGAGGCAAGCGGGAGAACAGCGGTGCCTGGGCGGGGTGAGGCATTGGGCACGGCCAGAGCCAATCCGAGGAGGCTGTGAAGGCGGGGAGTGGCCCCACCCGGGCCCTTAGGGGAGAGTGAATAAAGCCCACAGGGAAATCGGACTCTGCCACCCAGCGATCTCTGCCCGCCAGGGTCCCAGAGGCCCATAGAACCAGGATGGGATGAGGGAAGCAGCTCCAGATTCCCACTGGGCTCTGTTTTGAGCACTCCTCCCTTCCCCCCAATACTGATTTCCTCTTAAGTCATCACCCAGAGGACTTCCCACCCTCATGTGGCCAAGGCAGGTCACTAGTCTTAGTCTCCATCCCCAGCTCTTTCGTCCTTAGACCTGAGGTTACACACCTGGCGGGAAGGGGTGAAGATGGACTGGGGAGTAGGGGTGTGAGGACACTCTGGGCACACCAGCAGCACCTGTTCCAGTTCCAGCTCAGCCTCCCTTGGGACTCCAGCTCCCAATCAGTCCTATGCATATCCTAGTCAGCAGACAACACCTAAACCCACCCCATCCTTCATCAGTGCCCTAGGAAAGCGAACAGTTGCTCCCCTAGGCTAAAATGGTAGCAAGAAGCCTCTGTTTACAGCACCCTTCCTTCTGGGCCTCACTTTTCCCATCTATAGGCTGAGTGCAAAGGCTCCTTCCCTGTGGTCTTGACTGTGCTATGTCAGACAAGGAACCCAGGGACTTCTGTGAGCAGCAGATCCAGGGTCTGCCTGACCCCTGTGTACCCGGTCCCCAGGGTCTGGGTAAGGTAGGCCCTTTACTATTTAGCAGCGAGGATGAGTTAGATCGCTGAAGGCCAGAGCACCTGTCTGCCTACCCAGCTGGTGGGACACATCTGAGCTCCTGGAAACCCTGTTCTCCACAGGTATAAACTCTGGTATAGAGGAGATGGCCTGACCTTGGAAGTTTCACCTATTTCCTGCACTTCATTTCCTAATGCCTTAAGCTGCCTGCCCATAGAGGCAACTGGCAATCATTGCTTGTGTGCCCTCTGGGGAGAGGCCAAGAGAAAGGAGGTAGTGAGAATGCTTTGCAAAGTAGAAGTCCCAGTGGTGGGAATTCAGGCATTTGGGCCAAGCTTCTAGGGGAGAAGTTGTTAAAGGGGGCAGGATTCTTCCTGGGCCATGCCCAGCATCAGCCCAGATGCCAATTCCAGCCTGGCCCTGCCTGCCTTCCTTCCTCTGTTGGATATTTTCTCAGCAGTCCTGAGGATTGAAAGGGAAGCAAGCCAGAGGGGAGGAGCCCAGAGTTATAAATAAACAAGAATAATACCCTGGAGTCATGGAAAGGGCTCATGCCCCTCACTGACTGAGTGGCCTTGGTCAAAGGACTTTACCTTAATGGCATCCATCTTTGGGCATCTAAGACAGACCATTCTAGAAAACAGATGGGGTTGGCAGGTGGAGCCCCTGTGGTTAATGGTATCTCAAGAGCTAAAGCCCACATCTCTCTGTTCCAGTGACTTCGGCTGGAACAGCGGCTCAGCAAGTGGTGGATCAGGCCACAGAAGCAGGGCAGAAAGGTCTGGTGGGGCTGGTGGGCAAGAGGGTGGATAGCCCCAGCACACCTCCATACTCCACCCAGCGCTTGTCCAGACACACTCTCTCCTCTGCAGACCCTCTATCCTCACTGCATCCTGGGGAGGGAGCCCCAGGGGAGGCTAACCCCTGCATGGCGGTGGTTCCCCGGGGTCCCGCCCTCAACTGCTCTTTCCTTCCTTCCCCAGCCATGGACCAGGTTGCCAAGACTACCCAGGAAACCATCGACAAGACTGCTAACCAGGCCTCTGAGACTTTCTCGGGTTTTGGGAAAAAATTTGGCCTCCTGAAATGACAGAAGGGAGACATGGGTGACTCCCTTTGAGGCCCGGAGCCCTGGCAGGCTCTTGGTGGGCCACCTGATTAAAACATGTAATCCTACCCTGTGCCCACTTCATGACTCCTTCCACACGGGCCCAGACCTCCCTCGCTTAGAGCAGAGCCTCAGCCCAGAAACTCCAGAGAAAGTCCTGCATTCGGAGGAAACCCAGACTGATTGTTCAAGAACTCATTTTCCTTTTCTCAACCGCGTATCCCCACTCTCCCTTATTTTAAGTTCAAACCCCATTTAGGTACGTGCCTCTCCCCGCTCCCGATTCCAAAACCGCTCTCCCAGCTCCAGAAACCCGGCCCTTCCTAGAAAGGGCATACTCGATCCCCAGATCCTCCAGGAGCTCAGCTCTGGGCGGGGGACTAAAGGTTCCAGCGGCCACGGCCTCTGGAACTTCTCCCAGTGAGCTGAGCCAGAAGGCTGGGAGCATCGAGGCAATCCAGAGCTGGGCGCCGGCGAGGACTTCAGGCGGCAGGAACTCTCGGGGAAGACAGGGGACGCAGGGGAGTGGTTCTGGCCCTAGCCACTCTAACCAGCCCGTCCGGTGTTTGTGGTACTGCCGCACCCAGCGGAGAGTCACCGGGCGGGACCAGGAGGGCGAGGACACGCCCCGAAGACCTGGGCTCCGCCCGATTGACTTGGTTGGCGCGGCCGCCAAGAGCCCCGCCCACGACACGCCCCCCGGGAGGGCCCTGCGGCGCACAAGGCGGTGCACGTGAGCGCGGTGCACGTGGGCATGAAGCGCAGGCACCCGGCAGAGTGCGTGCGCGCGCTAGACCACTCCCGTTGGCACCCCTTCCGTTCCGGATGCACCAGTATCTTCTGGCCTAGGGTGGAGGCTGGCGTTTTTGTCGGGCAGGTCCCCAAGACGGTCTAGAGTTCGCGCAAGCTTTATTCCCTCCAACGTCCCCTGCACGTGTCCACGTGTTCATGCACGCGATACCAGCTCTGGGTAAGTCCTGCTGGTGGGTGACTCATCGTTGCCACAGGATAAGCCCAGCCCTGGCGCCGGGCGCTAGCGGCCCTCTTCATCCGAACCCTTGCCACACCTTGGCTGGTGACGCCCCATTCCCTTTCCCCACCTCCCCGCCTTTGCACATACTGTTCCCTCCGTCCGTATAATCTTGTTCTCTTCTGGACGAGGACATACATAGTCATGCCGTTTCACCTCTGGCTACAAGATGTTGGCTACAAGGCACTTCCAGTTCAGGAGAGACTGACAGAAAAAAAGCGTCGTCTTTGCTTCACACTCGAGACCGGCTTTCCTAGAGGCCTTCCCGCGACCGGCCAGCAGGGGGCAATGTCGTGTCCACCTCCCCTTCACGCCCCCCAGCCCAGGTCTTTATGTGTGTAACCATCTGCCCAGGGGACCTTTCATTTCTCCAATCCGAGATCCCTCCCAAGGAAGCAATAGGTTTCCTTTCTAATCCTTAATATCTCTCACCCTCACCCCAGGGCCAAGCTCAGTTTCATGGTTTGTTCCAGTTTCTGACTTCCCCAAAGAAGGCCTCACCTGGTCTACAAAATGGGCCAAGACCTAAAGGGAAGGTCCTGGAAGAGATACCTGGAGTAATGTGGAGGTGCTTTGCAGCATCTCCAGGAGCCCCTGCCCCCAGGAGAGGATGCCAGGGTTGGGAGAGATCACGTGGGGCCACACCCAGAGGAGGGTGGGGCTGAGCTATCAGAGCCCTCAGATCCTTTTTGGTAGGCTGCCTTCCCCTGCCTGACTCAGGAGGAATCCCAGTTGGCCCAACAATCCTTCTTAATCCTGTTTTCTTTCTGATTGTTGGCTTTAGGAATGAGTGTGTGAGCCATCTCAGACCAAGGAGAGGAGGAGTCGGGTCTGAGGGCCAGGAGGCTTCTAGGAAAGGGTTTTTTATCCTCAAAAAAAAAAAAAACCCAAAACGAAGAAGCATTTCTTCTTCTTCCACTGGACATTTTTGTGATTGGAAATGATGCTTAGAACTCTGGCAGCCACTTCTAACCTCAGGAGGAAGGAGCCTGAGGAAAAGCCAACTTGCTGATCAGGGCAGAGCAGAAGTCTGAAAAGAACCTAGATCCCAAGTTATTTTCTCGAGTCCCTAACTTAACCAGTCCTGCACCTGCCACACACTAGGCGAAAGGATCAGTTTTCTCATCGTTTAAGCAGCTGTGAAGTAGGTGTCTATTACAAAGAAAAGCTAAAATCCTGATGTTACCTCAATGATACTAAGGTCCTTTATTTGCCAGCCTCACTCACCTCCTCAGCCTCCTTCCTCAGTACCCCTTCCCTCTCAGTCTCAGCCATGTTAACCTTTGTTCATTTCCCTTGACATTGTGCTTCAGCTCACCTCAGTCTGTGTGTGTGCTGTTTTTTTCTGCTTGGAATGCTGTCCATCCTTCCTCATAAATCACCCTTATCTAGGTGGCTTCTGCCCTTTCATCCTTCAGATCTCAGCTTCCCAGATCGGCCCCAACATACACAGAACGGGTCCAGCCACTGCCAGTGTACTTCTTTTCCGCACTTACATACTAATGAGTGGCTCTCCTGTGTGCTTGGCTGTGATGGTTGTCCACAGGCAGCAACCGAGTCCTCTGTGCGGATTAGTGCACGCCCCGTGCCTCGAGAGGGGCTCTGGCAACATCTGCCGGATGAAAGCAGGGATGATGGTCCGTTGGTTCTCCTCCCAGATGACAGAGTTGTCCTGCTGGGTTCACTCTAGGACCATCTCTACAGTGCAGCCCCTGCCACATCTCTCTGCCCCTGTGCGTCTGATGCTCCCGTGCACTGTGCAGATGCCTCTTTCTGCATTCCTCGATTCCCCCACGCCGAGCCCTGGGGATGGGGCCAGGTTGGACTTGTCTTTGGCTCTGTGTCTGGGACAAGGTGGACATGGAGCTCGGGAGCCATGGGAGCCTGTAGGAGCCCAGGCCTGTCTCCGTGAGGTTCATGAAGTTAGTGAAACCCAGATAGGCTGAGGAGAAGAAGGCTGTGACCACTGCACCTGTTGGGTCTTAGTTAGGGCTCCAAAGATGATTCTCCCATTAACAGTTCCTCAGGTAGTTCCTGATTCTCCAAATCCCAGTCCCCCAACTAGCCAAACAGAAAGTCACTAACATCACATTTTGGACTTTAGCTCTGATTCCCATCAAATTACAGATGAGAAAGGCAGAGTTTTCTGCTTTCCACCTTCTCTCCCTTTCTCCTTTTTTTTTTTTTGCTTGTTGTTAGTTGTCTCATTTCTACTTTGTGAAAATACATAGCATTTACATTCCATTCCTCCACACCTTTTTCTTGTCTTAGATCTATAACTGAAGATATTAGAAGCAGCCTGCCATTGGTCTGCTGAGATATTTTCTATCATCTCTTGGTTCGTTGGAGTTAGTCCTCTAAGAAGTTTCCTCAAGAATGAAATATTTTCAGATGAACTGAGAAGATGTCTGGGATGTGAACTGAGAATTGTATAGCTAGGCCCCTTGGGTTATAGCAGTGTGTCCATGAGGGTTCATGGTGTTCTGTTTTTTGTGTGTGGCATTTTCTATTTTTAAAAAGGTTAAAAAGTTTTAAGAAAGAAGAAATCATGTGAACCATATTCTGTGTTCCTAAATGTGTGGAAATGTTAGTCTGTAGCCTTTATACTTTATCCTCAACTGGGTTTGAAATTTTCAGCTCACAGTTTCTTCCTTGAGTGTCTTCTAGATATGGCTGCAGTGCCTTCTGCCACAGAAGATTGAATAATTTCTGTAAGTCTGATTTCTATTTCACTGGAATTTCTACTTTTAAAAAAATGTTTATTTATTTATGGCTGTGCTGGGTCTTTGTTGCTGTGTTGTTGTTCCTTGTTGCCCCAGAGAGTTTCAGGAAGGGGAAATGGGACTATTTAGAATTTAAGCTGCTGTCTTGTTGTTTCCAGACCTGGATGTCTGGCAGGCTAAGCTGGTGTTCTCTGTTTGTAGAGAATACACATACTCTCTGCCTTTTACTCCCTGCTCTCACCCTGGGAACTTGCCTCTTGAACCGCATTACCCATCTCCCTTACCTTCGGGACTTGTTGGGTTCAGCTGCAGGGGATATCAGTAGGAGATGGAGAAGAGAGCTTATTTCTCCTGCTCCCTTCTTGCTGGGCATGGTTGGGCAGTGAGTGGCCTTGTTCCTCTGCTGACGGTGGCAGCTCCTGTCTGCTGACCCTCTCCTATCGCTGGAGCTCTCATCAGGGTCTACAGCCCCTCCAGGCCAAGGGATATAATAACCCCCATTGCTCAAAGTCCCTGGCAGCCTCGCCGTCCCTCATTAGCTCCCTTAAGTCTGCCCACACCTTTGTGAACTGTCCATTTCCTCAGCTACCCCTTTGATGTGCCCTGTGCCCATGGGTGTATGAGAGCTGGGTCGCTAGGGAAGTCTTCTTTTGGTGACTGACAAACCAAGTCTCCGGGAATCTCTTCTTGGCTCCCCTGTGACTGGAAGGGGTCTGTATGTACAAGATACATGGGCTCTGTAGGTACTGGGAGATCAAATCCATGAAGCAGAAGTAGGAGAAAGCATAGGTAGGATGACAGTTATAAAACTCTTGCTGTTCATGACATTTACAGTCACAGGAGAAAAACATTTTTTCATGCTTCAGATGTGAGACAGCCCTAAGTGTTTAAGCATACTTAAACTGCGTAAACTTCTTTTTCCCCCAGAACTGTTAATTGCTCAGTTGGCAAATTGCTTTTGAAAAATTGGCTCTCCTTGACTTGATGGTGGAGTCATCTGGTCCTTTGTCAGACCTGGGTTGTTGAGCAGATTCCATTTGAAGAATTAGTTGGCTCTTGTCAAAGCTTGACTCTCGCAGCCCTGAGTGTAGGACTTGACCTTCTGACTCAGGACAGGCTGACTTGGCTGCCTGTGTTCAAGGCCTGCTCTGTTGGGACCCATCATGACAGGCTTCTTCCCAGATGGGGTGGTTCCTACCTGAGTCACCCCAACCTCATCCAGGTAGGAGTAGCCCAAGCCCAACCCCTTAGACCAGAATCCTTCTTAGCAGGGTGTGAGACTGTCCTAGGTTCTTTGGGCTGGAAAGGAGTCCACCCTATGGGAGCCCGGATGGGCTGGGCTGTGCTGAGAGGCCAGGGAGCTGCTCAGAGCTACAGTGGGAAGGCTGGTGGGACTAGAAGTGGGCCAGAGCACCAAGGTCTGGGGCCCAAATCCAGTCTTGGGCAGCTTGGCCTCTCCAGGCCTTCCCTCTCTCTGTTGCATTTGGGATCTGTACCTGAACCCAGCCTTGTCAGGAGATTTGGGGCCATGATATGTTGTCACTGGACTCCGGGTGCTCACACCAGGGCCATGCATTAAGGAGGAGAGGGTCCCATGGGCCAGGGGATGTAGTGAAGGTAACAGCAGTCTGACAGGGAGGAGGAAAAGTGTAGCCAGAGGGCTCCTAGCTGGGACTGGGGCCAGAGTCCTGCTGAGTGGCCTAGCCCTGATGGGCCTGTCAAGGAGCTGATGAGCTCCCAAGGAGGGAGCCACAGTGAAGAGTACCCAAGGGTGAGCGCTGGCTGGGTGGGGTCGTGGGGTCTGGGAGCCATCCCAGAACTCGTGGGTGATACCGCCATCCTGTCAAGAGGTCCAGCAGGACCCATGTGGGGGTGAAGGACACATACAGCCTCAGAGGAAAGAGGCAGGGGGTTTTGATGGGCCCAGGGAATGTCCCTGTGGGTCTCTCAGGCCAGTTCCTGCCAACTGTGTCCCAGAAGTACCCCCACCCTTGGCAGTGTTGTCCTAATACCATGAGCAGAACTCTCTGGGATTTGGATGTAACAGGGAGGCCAGAGTCATCTAGACCTGCTTAAACTCCAGGGCCCCTCACTTTCATGGCCCCTTCTGAGTCCACAGGGTCAAATATATATATATGTGTGTGTGTGTGTGTATATACATATATATTCACATGAGTAGTAATACTTTTTTCTTAAAGAGACTCTCCAAATTGTTTAAGACCTGATCAACTCCTGCTTATGGCATGTGTGGGGCTATGGCCTTGTGACCCAGAGTTCCTGCTGCCTACAGCATCCACTGCCCACCCCAGGAGGGGGCTGGCCACTGCCCAAGGCCTCCCAGCACCACTCAGGAATGTGGGAGAGCCTCGACTCCTTAAGCCTGTGTCAGGTAAACACTAATTAGACCCCGCCACTCCCTCCTGGACTCCTCTGAGGGGTAAGGAAGCCGGTATGGGGGGAGCAACCTCAAACTCCTGCCCCAGGCCTGGACTTTATGAGCAAGTCCTTGAAAGGGCCTTCCCTCCATGACTCCTAGCCAGTTGGGGGTGTCTCATCTCCAAGCCCTCTCACTTTGAGGCAGCCTTATACCCCTGCCACTCTTTGTTCCGCCCATTGGTTGGTCAGGGCTCACTGCCAAGCAGCATGGGCCTAGCTAGCATCCCTAGCACATCACTGATAAGAGGGTGGGAATGGAAGTTTACCAAGAGTTTGCATGCCTGGCCCCACCAACAATCAGTGACAAGGCCAGGAAGGCATGGCTGCCCCCATTTTATAGATGAAGAAACTGAGGCTCAGCTGGGCTAGTGATTAAGGGAAGCAGCATGTGATACGTGGCTTGAGGCATCTCTCTCCATCCTGAGTAACTCAGAAGGCAGTCTGGCTCCCTAAGTGTGTAATGTTTCAGGGACTGGTAGAACTTCTTTCTGGGAACTCTTGCTAGAGTCAGAAGCACAACCCCAGATGGTGGCGGGGTCCTCCATTTACTCCCCTAGGACCTCTTGGGTGGGCACTTCTGACTTCACAGGGCTTCTGTAAGAGGCCAGGCCCCAAGGTGCAAGGACTGGGTTCACTTACCTGCAGGGTGCCTCAGTGCTGGGCCACCCAGGTGCTCCCATGAGTGAGAACCAGGTAACTGCACGTCAGGGATGACTAGACTTCTGGTCAGCGTTGCAACCTTTTCTACCTTGGGCCAGGCATGGCCCTCATTTTCCCTACTCCCCCAGACTGTCCAGTGGAGACTGCAAGGCCACTCTGCTGAGCTGAGTTCTTGGGAATAGGGAGAGCAGCAGCCTCCACTCCACTTGTATTCCTGGCCTAGGGGCTGCCTGGGTCCCCAGGCTCACAAAATGCTACACCCCTGACTAGGTCACCCGAGGGATAGCAGGCAGCGGGCTGGAAGTTCTTGGCCTTGTCTGGATACACAGCTATGCCTAAACTGCCATGAGTCCAGGGGACTGGCAGGGCTGAGGTCCCCAAATGCCTCTTACCCCACAGGGCACTAAGGCCTCTTGCCTTGGGAGAGGGGTATGTCTGAGAACCGAGCTCTGTCCGGCCTCATGCCCCCGGTCCCTGCCCCTCATAGGGTCTCAGGTTATGGGGTGTGGGGGTCTCATGCTGCCCGAGGATCACTTCCCCAGCCACAGCACTGGGGCGGCCCCACCCAGCTTCTTCCTTCTGCTGCCTGTGCTGACTCACCACCAGGGTGAGGGCTTGTGTCCCGGAGCCAGGCCGGGCATCAGAGGCATCTATAAAAGCAGACTGCTCCAGGCCCCAGCATCCTGCTTGATTGCCACCTGTTGCCACACAATGCTGGGAGGCCTGGGGAAGCTAGCTGCCGAAGGCCTGGCCCACCGCACAGAGAAGGCCACCGAGGAAGCTGGTGAGGGCCCCGGGGCTCCTTCCCCCTCGCACTGTTCCTCCCGCTGGGGACTCAGGACGGACTTGACTGGGCCAGTGAAAAGCTGATCCCAACAGGTCTGGGGCAGGCTTCGACCCCATGGAGAGCCAAGGAGATCACTCCATAGGGATGGAGGTAGGGGACTGTAGAAGCGAAACCAGTAGGAGCCATCAGAGGTCCACTGCCCCAGCAACCCTCCTGGTCAGACCTGTTTTGTCTCCCACCCACGGGGCTTGACACATTCCTGGGGTCTGTGGCTGTGGGACGGAGGCGGCAGCTCAGAGGAGGCCCCTGGTAGCAGGAGGGGAGCCAAGGTGCTGGGTGAGCAGCTGGTGACTTGACCCCTTGCCCCTGGAAACTGGCAAGGGGTGGGAGGCTTTCATGGTAAAAGAGCTTATTCTAAGTATCCTATAGATGATACAGGAAAAGGAAGGTGGATTTTAATTTTTCACCAAGAGTCACCGAGTCTGATTGTGTTCAAAGTCAGCCCCCAGAGTTTACACAAAGGACATTTTCAGTTTCTTCAAAGTCCCCAGAAACTCTTTTTTGTATGTAGGCCCTTGGATACAGAGAAGCTGATCCAAGCCCTACCCGTTTAACATTTTGTGAAAAACAGCTTGTGCCCAAGTGTGCTGTTCTCTTTCTAAATGGCTGCAAACATGTCTGTGTTTCATTTTAGCTTTGCACCTGCTGTTGCAAAGTCCACTTTCATCTTGAGCAGCTCTCTGAGCGCTGTGTTATTTCCAGTCTATGGACAAAGGAACCCAAGCAGTGGAGTTAATTCTAGGAGTTAGAATCTGAAATAGTTCTTCTGACCCAACATCTTTCAGTTCTAGCAGGTTACCACCCTAGGAGGGCAGAGAGTTTTGTCTTATTGGAGGAATTGCTTTGGGGGACTTGGTGTTGCCGGGAGCGGGGAGTGGAGGAGGTGGTGGTGAAGCTTTGACATTCAGCCTCCTGCTGTGGCCTCCATCCAGTCGTACAAAGAACAGCAGCTCACATGGGAGGCGTGGTCACCTGGGAAACAGGCCCAGCATTAGCTCCAGGTCCCCAGCCGACAGGAAGTCTTGCTAGTCAGCATTCCAGGCCTTGCTGGGCGAGGGACATGGAGAGCCCTGTGCCCTCAACAGCTTGCTGCCAGCAGCCAGGTCCCACTCCAGTCTCTGAAGGAAGCCAGCTGGGAGTTCTTGGTGAGCAGCTTGTCCTGTCCTGGGGGGAGCAGCATCCCTGAGGCCCTTTGGGGATACCCAGGGCTGTCTGGGCCCTGCCGTGAGGACAGGCAGCTTACACTGTGCTCTCACTCTGGGCTTGTCTCATCTTTTCAGTTCACGTTGTGGAGGGAGTGGTGAAGGAGGTGATAGATCATGCTAAGGAGGCTGGAGAGAAAGGTAAGGCCAAGTTCGGGGTGGGAAGGAGGGAAGCTGGGTGCTGGCAGCAACCTGTTCCTTGCCTAATCAGGTCAAACCCTGACCCCGATGTTGCTTCCTTTCAGTTGGTGTACAATTACCTGCGCTCATCTGAGCTCTCACACTGCGCTTTGCTAAAGCACGAGCCGTCTAGATAGTCCTCTCTGTGGAATGTTAATAGGATGGTGTCACAAAAGATCAGGTGGCAGTGTGCTGGCACAAAACATTGGAGACATAAATTATATACGTACAAATACGTATTTATTTAAATGTTTATATGTTTGTTTATATGTTTCTGTATCACAATGTACAAAGCTTGTGTATGTCTTGCTCTTTACAACAAAATAGTTTGCAAATGGATTAGGACTTAAGTATAAATACATGAAATTATTAAATTCATAGAAAAGAACATAGATTTTGGCATAATCTCAGAGAGTGGAAGATCTTTTTAATGATGACAGAAGCTCCAAAGGCCATAAAGGAAATATTAGGTAAATTGGACAGTGTGTTCTCAGTCACTTCAGGTGTGTCCGACTTTCTGTGACCCCATGGACTATGGCCCACCAGGCTCCTCTGTCCATGGGATTCTCCAGGCAAGAATACTGGAGTGGGTTGCCATTTCTTTCTCCAGTGATAAAGTATGAAGTGAGTGAAGTGAGTGAAGTGAAGTCGCTCAGTTGTGTCCGACTCTTTGCAACCCCATGGACTGTAGCCCACCAGGCTCCTCTGTCCATGGGATTTTCCAGGCAAGAATACTGGAGTGGGTTGCCATTTCCTTCTCCTAAATTGGGCAGTATACAACTTTAAAAATTCCCATAGTGAAAAAAAATAACATAAGCCAAATCAAAAACCACAAACTGAACAAAAATATTTGTAGTAGGAGTGATAACCCAATATAAAAATGACCAAAAGATATAAACAGACAGTTCACAGAAAAATGAAGCCTGAGTAGGCAGTACACCCACAAGCAGATGCCCTATCTCACTAATAGCTGGAGAGATGCAGGCTGTTTGGAGAAATAAAAACGAGTGTGAATGCCTTCATCCAGGAGTGCGCTATGGTCTGTCCCACAACTCCTGCAGGGTGCAACCCAGTAAGACTGCCACATCCCACAGGACACTCCAGGTGACACCAGCCCAGCGAGTGACTTGAATTGTTTTCTTTGCTCACATGGACATTCTTCTTCCTTCCCAACAGCCATTGCTGATGCTTTAAAGAAGGCCCACGAGTCTGGGGACAAAGTGGTAAAAGAAGTCACTGAGACAGTGACCAACACAGTCACGAATGCTGTCACGCATGCAGCAGAAGGCCTGGGCAAACTGGGACAGTGAGCTTGCCTGCCACCATCAGGCTCTTCCTGAATCACAATAAAAAGCTGAGATTAAATGTGTACACTGAGCCCTGGATTTGTTCCTGTTTGGATGGAAACATTACCTGTGTCCTGAGTGTCCCCTCTGCAGGGACAGGAGGCCAGGACCTTGGCTTCCACTGAGGGTCACGTAGTTCCCCATGGTTAATCAGATGTGCTGCTCTCACTTTATGATTTCTCATGTCAGCAAGGAGCTCTTGAGGACTGTTAGTGTCTGTGCTACATCTCTTAAAAAGACTGTTTCCCCAGAAACTGTAAAAAGCTTTCAAACACCTCAGTGCTTCAAGGACACCCCAAGAAAGGACCACAGTTCAGCTTATGTGTTCTTTGGGTTTTCTTTGAAATGTTCTTACAGAAATAGGGAAAGATAACAGACCAACTTGAGCTGGGCAGGCTCAGGCAGTTTGAGCTGCTTCGTGTTCTCAAAGAGGCTTTAGAGAACTGTTTCTTCTGGATAGTCACAGAATCATGACTGTCATGGAGGAACTGAATCTGCCCCCTGTTGGAGCCTCTGTCAACTCTCTGCTCAGAGATGTCGTTTAGGCTTAAATTGGCTGTAGTAGGCAAGAAAGCCTGGCCTTCCCTCCTTCCTGTCATGAATGAATCAGTACTATAAAAGGTGCTTTGTGGAACGAGTTAGTTGCTCACCGTATTTCTGATGCTCTTTCAGAATTGGCTTCACAGGTTTCTGAATGGCCCAGAAATATCCAGTGTCCTGGCTTGAAACATTTGCTACTGTCCAGCTGGGTCTGGACCTTATATCTTGGTTTGGTTTCTGATGACACTTGAATTCTCCCAATTCAAACCTAAGCTCAAAAGGATGTGAATTCTGAGTGTTAGTGTCAATCAGAGCAGACTCTTTGAATGGCAGTTCCTCTTAGCAGAGTTTATTTGATTCTTCAGGTACACAGACAGAGGCCCAAAGGGTGAGGATACATCCTGACATATTTGTGATAATACGAGATTGGAAATACCCTAAAATGATAATCAGAAATCACTTGGTTGGCAAGCTTAATTGTGCTTATTAGGTTTGACACACACTATAGAATTGACATTTATTACTTATAGTGTATTTTTAATGCCTTAGCATGAAAAATGGAACTTTTGCTTAGATGGCCATCTAAGGACTGGATAACAATTACTGCATTTCTATGAAATGGAATGCTCTGTGGCTGTTAAGGGACTCCCTGGTAGCTCAGCTGGTAAAGAATCGACCTGCAAAGCAGGAGACCCTGGTTCGATTCCTGGCTTGGGGAGATCCTCTGGAGAAGGGATAGGCCACCCACTGCAGTATTTTGGCATCTTTGGTGGCTGTTAAGAATGAGAAAAATGTACATATATCATTAGGGAACATGTATAAATGAGTTAGTAATTTGTGAAATATATATGTAGAACTAGTTCATTTTTTTCAAAGCAAACAGAATGGAAGAAAACTGGTAGAGTATATATATGTATATATTTTTATCAAATGTTAACCATGTATATATATATGTCAAGTATTAACTGTGTTTCTTTGGAAATATGAAGAATCTTCACTTTTTCTATTATATAAATGTAAATGATGCTTGAATTTAAGAGAAAACCAATACAGATATATTTTGAAATGTGGTTATGGAGGCCAATTCTATCTAGCTTATTGAAGGTTGCTTCCTAATTAAGTGCTACTTAAAGTTTGCTGGTTTCATAGTTGAAAACCAGTGTAATAGGGAAGTACCTTTGTATTCTATTACAAGTTGATCACTAAAGGGATATTGCCTGTAAGCTTAAATTATGGGTAAAGGCCCATCTCTGGAAAACCTGCCTCCTAGGTAATGAGCATTAAGCTAAAATACCTTTAGCTCTCAGGAAACATGCTGACCAGGCACACCAGTGAATGACTGCAGGGAGGAGGAAATTAACACATCTCTCTTGGAGGCTGGTGGGAACCAGGAAGTGTTTGACTTTACTTCCTCCCCTTTTAGTGTGAAAGAACCCTACTTCAGGCAGGATGGTTCTTTGGAATGTGAGGCCACCATCTTCTTGTGTGCTGGCTTTCTGAATAAAGTCGTTAATCCTTGCCCCAACAACTCATTTCTCCACTTACCGGCCTATAGTGTGGTGAGCAGCATGAGCTGCACCAAAATTTGTTAGAGTTCAAGATTTGCTACTCATGGCTAGCCAGCCCTTGTTGGGGAGTTTTCGGGTAAGGCCCTAGCAACTGCCCGGCCACTTAACCTGAGGGTCTTGGCTTCAAAATTCCCCGAAGCAGCACTGGCTTCCCCAGAACTTGAAAATTGAAGCAACAAATCGATATTTAAGAGTTGACAAGCTCCATCCACACAGTAGGGTAAGTTGCTCTGGTGTGTTCAGCCGGAACCTTTTATTTCCTCCTCATTTGGGGCTTTTCCTTGGGAATAAGCCAACTTGTTTTATATTTGAGTGGGGTACCCTGCTGGAAAGCATAGAGATGTTGGACTTTTACTAGACACGTGAACCAGTTCCTTTGCTCCTTTGGATGCTAGCATTGTGGGTGAGGTTTGTGTTTTGTCTGTCTTGAGTTTCCATCTTTAAAAATGGGGAATATTTTACATATGGTAATATGGATGTTTCAATGTGCAAGTTTGATGCATGAATCAGGGCACTCAAAGCTGGTGCTCTGGGACAACCCAGAGGGATAGGGGAGGGAGGGAGGTGGTGGGGTTCAGGAGGGGGGTGGGACACATGTTGAAGTATGGCAAAAACCACCACAATATTGTAAAGTAGCCTCCAATTAATAAATTGATTTTAAAAATAAATAAATACAAAAACATGTAATTGCAAGATTGAAAGAAAAAAAAATTGGGGAATGTTTGAATTAACCCTAAAGAAAGTTCTCTGAAGCTCATTTTGGATAAGTCATCTGATTACAGCTATGAACCCCTGGGTGAGAGGACAATGATATTTTATTGTACTGATAACAATGTGTGAGCACAGTACCTGTTAGGATCCCCGCAAGGGATTTAGGCAGGGTTATCTTGGGACCCTCTGTACTATGTACTGCTATCCTTGCTGTGTTAAGTACTTCATTTATGGTCTCCTATGTTGTTGGCATATGTAACACCCCCAAGACCAAACTTGAAGGTTTATTTAGGATTTTCTGCTTGTCTTTGGATTTGTCATTTCATTTTGTTTGGTACTGTCTCTCTATCTATTTACAGCCAAATCAGTTTTGTGATATTTGAAACTCTTAATGATGTCAAATGGAGGAAACGAACAGGAAAAAAAACCCAACCCTGTCTCCTCTTGTCTAAAAGTGGGACATTCTCAAGAAGAAAAGGTTCCACTTCATTCCTAAAATCACCAAAAGTTACAAATAGAAGTAAAATAAATATTTGTAAAAAGCGTTTAGCCATCTAGACCAGTGATGTTGATTTGACCCATTTGCCAAAACCCAACCTCTTTTGTAACTGATAGGTTTTACATTGTTGTACCTGATTCAGGGCTGAAATTTTGGAGTGGGAACTGTGAGGTCCGTGTGTGTGTGTGTGTGTGTGTGTGTGTGTTTGTATATGTTATAGGTTGTAGAAATGCCAACATTACTTAGTAAAAGAGCTCTATTGAATTCAGTTCAGTTCAGTTGCTCATTCGTGTCCGACTCTTTGCAACCCCATGAACCGTGGCATGCCAGGCCTCCCTGTCCATCACCAGCTCCCAGAGTCTACCCAAACCCATGTCCGTCGAGTCGGTGATGCCATCCAGCCATCTCATCCTCTGTCGTCCCCTTCTCCTCCTGCCCCGAATCCTTCCCAGCATTAGAGTCTTTTCCAATGAGTCAACTCTTCGCATGTGGTGGCCAAAGTATTGGAGTTTCAGTTTCAACATCAGTCCTTCCAATGAACACCCAGGACTGATCTCCTTTAGGATGGACTGGTTGGATCTCCTTGCAGTCCAAGGGACTCTCAAGAGTCTTCTCCAACACCACAGTTCAAAAGCACCAATTCTTTGGCGCTCAGCTTTCTTTATAGTCCAACTCTCAAATCCATACATGACCACTGGAAAAACCATAGCCTTGACTAGACGGACCTTTGCTGACAAAGTAATATCTCTGCTTTTTAATATGCTGTCTAGGTTGGTCATAACTTTCCTTCCAAGGAGTAAGCGTCTTTTAATTTCATGGCTGCAATCACCATCTGCAGTGATTTTGGAGCCCCCCAAAATAAAGTCTGTCACTGTTTCCACTGTTTCCCCATCTATTTGCCATGAAGTTATGGGACTGAATGACATGATCTTAGTTTTCTGAATGTTGAGCTTTAAGCCAACTTTTTCTCTCCTCTTCCACTTTCATTAAGAGGTTCTTTAGTTCTTCTTCACTTTGTGCCATTAGGGTGGTATCATCTGCATATCTGAGGTTATTGATATTTCTCCTGGCAATCTTGATTCCAGCTTGTGCTTCATTTGGCCTGGCATTTCTCATGATGTACTCTGCATGTAAGTTAAATAAGTAGGGTGACAATATACAGCCTTGACGTACTCCTTTTCTTATTTGGAACCAGTCTCTTGTTCCATGTCCACTTCTAACTGTTGCTTCCTGACCTGCATACAGGTTTCTCAAGAGGCAGATCAGGTGGTCCGGTATTCCCATCTCTTTCAGAATTTTCCACAGTTTATTGTGATCCACACAGTCAAAGGCTTTGGTATAGTCAATAAAGCAGAAATAGATGTTATTTTAGAACTCTCTTGCTTTTTTTGATGATCCAGCGGATGTTGGCAGTTTGATCTCTGGTTCCTCTACCTTTTCTAAAACCAGCTTGAACATCTGGAAGTTCATGGCTCACGTATTGCTGAAGCCTGGCTTGGAGAATTTTGAGCATTACTTTACTAGCGTGTGAGATGAGTGCAATTGTGCAGTAGTTTGAGCATTCTTTGGCATTGCCTTTCTTTGGGATTGGAATGAAAACTGACCTTTTCCAGTCTTGTGGCCACTGCTGAGTTTTCCAAATTTGC